ACTCGACTTTGCTAGACATGATGGACCGTTTTGATTTGGTAACTCTCGTTAATTTAGCATCGGATCCAAATTAAAGTCCTAACATGATTAGCATGTTGAGGAACGACTTAATTAACTTAAAGTATTTGTGTGAAATGTTTAATAAAATTGAATCATCTTGACTCATTATTTTTTAGCATTTTTAATACTAAATAAATATCAAACCATCGTCCATTCCTAATAAATAAGAGACTCTTTGGTCCGATATCACAACCTACTCAAACTTCATATATTAAAATAAATTTCACAACCTAAATATTTCTATGTTTTCTAATACAAATAACATTAACATTATTATAAAACAATATCATAAACTAATTAAAAAATAAATAGGTAAGAGAAAAAAACTAAACAGATCACTAAAGAGTGAACAAATTGCTCTCTACGATGATGTTAAAAAATAACCAAATTGCCCATGTATGTCAAAATTATGAAACTACCCCTCAAAACCCTAACGCTATTATCACCATCCATGGTTGCCTTTTGGTGAGCCTTGGGCCATGATTAGTTGGGGAAGGAGCACCGTGGCCTACCTGGTTCATCTAAAGTAGGCGGTGTAGGTCATGGATTTTAAAGGAGGGATATGGCATCACGGACGGCTACCATTTTCTTTTTATTTTTCGATCATGATTCTAACCATGACAAGGGCTAGGGAGGACACTAATCAACTCGGAAGACAATGGAGAGTGTTTCTCAAGTAATTTGGAGGTCAAACTTGATCGAAATAGAAGATTTAATTAGGTCTTAAAAAACAAGTCGAAATGGTTATTTTATTCGATTCGGATAATTTTAGTGATGTTGAGCCATGATTTTAGAGGGTAATTGCTTCTAGGTGGGTGTGGAGTGTTTCTCTAGTGGTTGGAGTAATTGAATTGACTCGAAAGAATTGTTTAGATTGTTATCTAGATCGAGTTCTACAACTTCTTCTCTAATGTTTGGCCTCCTCTAACATCTTTTCCTTCTCTAGATAGTTGAGAATGGTGGATCTAGTGGTGGGCTATTGATTGATGATGGTGGTTAGAGGCAATTTTGATTAGGGGATAGTCGATTTGATGGGGGAAAAGTGGGGGGTAAATGGGCCAACCCATAGGTTGAGGGTTTGGTCCTTTTTTAAGGGCTATTTGGTTGATTTTTTTAGGTCTTTTTAGGGATTTTCTTCTTTTTTGGTATCCATGTCATCCTCTACATTTTTAGGGAAAGGTGAGAGGCAAGATGGGTGATGGAAGCTAGGGTTTTCGGGGTAGGAGAATAATTGTAGAGGCTCTCTTAAAATAAAGTAAAAAGGGTGTTTATATAATGATTTTTTAGGATTTGGGATAAAAACAGTTTAAGTTATTCCTTAAATTGTTTTTATCAATTTCAATGTATATGTTATTATTTGTCTTCAATTAACTCAATTGACATTATTTAATCCCTTTGATTTTTTTTTTAATTTCACACTAATTATTTCAAAATCAAGTTTTTTTTTTTTGAATTTTATCTCTTTTCAATTACATCCCCATATGAATGTCGTTTGGTCGTTGCTTTTTACATCATTTTTAATTGGATCCTAAATCTTCTCATTTTTTTATTATTTTATTCTTTTCTAAGTAAAAATGGGGTATACTTAAAATCCTAAAAATTTAAAAAAAAAACTTAAAAATTATGAAAAATTCAAACTATGCAACATTTCATTTTGTTTTTTTAATTTGTATGAAAATAAACATAAGGTAAAAAAAAGTGATCATTACACATAAAAAGCTGAGCTGAGCCCGTTAGAAATGGTAAGAGCCTAGATTGATGGGTTTTGCATCGATAATGACAAATAAGAAATATTTTGAATGCTATTTACACCACTATTGCCAAAGCTTGCTATATTGGAGGAGAAGGAATTTTCAAGTGTCTCGTTAGGAAGTTGGTACCAAACGACCTGTCATAAGACTAATAATCAAAAGGCATATATTATAACATACACATCAAAATTGAAAATATTAAAACCTAAAAATTTTTATTGATATTTAAGGATGGAAAATGGTAATTTGTTCCAAATGGAGTTGATCTCTGCCTAGAATTTGAGGCGTTTGTAAAGAAAAACTATTTGTCCCAAAAGCACTCATAGTCTGGCTAAAAATTTTTAAAGAAAGATTTGATTGCCCAAAGGCATTGTTTTACAGTGCAAGGGACCTGAAAAGAAAATAGCTTAACATATTTAAAAAGCCAATGAGATACTAAAGAATAAAATTTCATTAAAACAATAATTTCAAAGACATTATTGTTTTGAACTTCGCTAAAACAAAATAAAAAAAGCTCGAAAAGGTTTTCATGCTTTACTCCAAATGCACTCAAAGGCTATCTTAGTTTCCTAAAAACACTATTTGATGGTGCAACAGGCTTGAAAAAACAAAAACAATTTGCTTAACATGACATATGAAAGCCTACAAATATTAGGAACATGATTTCAAGAAATAAAAAATTAAGCAGGCTCCATCGATTTGAGGAAAGTGATAAAACAAAAATTTGAATTCTAGAATAGATTCATGTCCGGTTCCAAACCCTATATTAAGAGAGGTTTCCAGTAGACCAAAATTAGAAATTGATGGAGGGGCATTATTTTGAGCAGTAGCTAGAATTGCATTAGAAGTGGCTCTGAAGAAAGGACTAGGATCCCAACTCGAGCTTTCTCTCTCTCAGCTCTACATCTAGGAACTAAATTTCAAAATAAATGAATTATATGAACCATTTCGTGCAAACCTCTAACTTTAAGGGTCAAAGTGAATATGTAAAACCTTTGACTATGATCCAGTGACCAACTTTTAAGAAAACATTTGTTGGTAATTAACAACAAAAATTATGAAAATAACAAAACATATGAAGGATTTTAGCATTACCTACAAGTTAAAAACTACTTCTACCTAAACGTACATATGACTTTTTTTTATAGTCAAAACTAAGATTTAAAAAAAAAAAAAAAACTTAAATCAATATACAAAATCCATCCCAAACATAACCTATATTACACATGGCACTGCAATTCCACGACAAATCTACATGCAATTACGCAAATATCAAAATCCTCTCTTGGTTGAAATCTCTACAATCTCAAACAACAAAATCGACAAACATAACAATACAACAATTCAAAAATCCAACAATCTTAAAATATCGTATAAGCTGAAATTCTGTCAAAATTTATCAAAATATTCTAAAATTTTGATCCAACCTAGGTGAAGCTTGAATAAAGTTGTCCAAATTTCAAGTCAATCTGACTCCTCTAGGTCTCCCATTTAACAAGTTGGAATTCACACACACGATAGCCAAAAACCCTAACAACTAGAGTAGTGCCAAAATATAGGCTAGACTTATAAAAAATTTGCCAAATTTTAACCAATTTTGTCTTATAACTATAAGATGTTATTTGTAAAATTTCATGAAATTCTAAAAATCTTAACTCCTATTTCCACACATGTCGCACTTTTCTAAAACTCAAAATAAAAGAGCAAATCTTAGCTTTATGCAACCTAGAACTAGCCAAAACTCTCTAAATATTTTTAATTTAGTATAGAGTTTCAATTTAAAAAGAATGAATAAAAAATTATGAAAAATAAATTAAGATTCAAAATACGTACATTAGGAGATAAGAATACAAATACACTATTTTGAATTTTGAACTCGAGATCGGATTGCCACCATAGTTGATCGGTGTTAAGGATGAGAACGTATTCTATGCGACACAAAATGCTGATTTTGAGAAAGAAAAATCTCTCTACTTAAATTTTATATATATATAAAAAATGTTTGACAATTTACAAAGAACAACTTAAATACCACTCTCCTAAAAAAAAAAAAAAAACTCTAATTCACTTGGACATATTAACTTAAACCCATTTTGAAATAAACTAATACTAAAGAAACTCTTAATCTCATTGGAATTAATTAACTTAAAAGTCCAATTAAAAATAATAATTCAAAACCCAATAAAGATAAACTTAAATATCCAAACATAAAATAAACAAAGATAACTAAGCCAAATATTTGGCCCACCAATGCATCTCTTGGCCAAGAACACAAGCGGACACTCACATGTCACTAGAAATTAAGACTACTTTTATAAATAAAGTCTCCAAGACTACTATTCAGATGATCGTCCAAAGTTGCAACTAGAGATGTTTACTATTCGATTTAAATTAAAAAAAAATCAAATTAAATCAAATCGAAATTATCAATTTTGGTTTAGTTTTTAACTCAAAAAAATTTAAAAAAACACCATATCAATTTTTTTTAGGGTTTTCAATTTTAGTTTGATTTTTTTTTAATTTGATTTAAACTTAAAAAAGCCGAAATCAAAAGCCAAAATTTTGATTTTTTAACTAAAAAACTAAATTACTATTCCATTTGAGTTAGGTTTTTAATTTTGAAAATTTGATTAACCGAAAATCAAATCAAAATGTTACAAAATTGAATAAAAAACCAAATGAACATCCTTAGTTGCAACCGTTATTTACATATAACTTATCGAATTTCAAAGAAAAGATTTTGCTTGAATAAACCTCAAAGTTATTCCTTTATTATACAACAAATTCAATTGAATCTCTAAATTAATTAAGGATTATTTAATTTGGATCCTTGAGATATAATCTTGTTCACGATTCTCAATTATGCTCTTCCTTCAAAATTTGTTAACGGATTACCTTTAAAGTACAATTTTTATGCAACAGAAACTCTTTTTCTTCTTGTTGTTAAAGAAATCATGTCATTTACACAGCTATATTGACATAACTCTCAAATGGTCATTTCTGGTCGTTTGATTATCCTATTACAACACACGCATGGCCATTCTGACCTTTGTTACATCTCAAAGAAGAAAAGGTTCCTTTTCCAAAAAAAAAAAAAAGAAAAAGAAAACAACCCATCTTAAACCAGTCGCCAGTACGTAGAAGTTAAAAGAAAAGGCAAAACTACTATTATTAAAACATTTCTGCAAATCAATGGAATGCAGCAGTGACAGTCATTTTGTTTGAGGGGACGTCAGGGGAAGGAGATGGGAGCAAGGTGAATGCTAATATTCCACTCACCGCAGCTGCAACAGCTCCTACAACAAAAGCTGGAAGATTACCTCCTCCAAAAAGGGCATCCCAAGGTCCAGCTGCTGCAGACACCACCATCTGCAACAAGATCATTAAGACAATAACTAGGTTAAATCATCATTTATGCAGGATTAATTGTTGCTGAATCCCATGTCAACACGTACCACATATATTTCCTATGTTTTTTTTTTTTTGGTGAACTGAAAGGTATGATTATAATGTCAGTCTAATATTCTTGGGGTTCACAGAATATCATGAGTCAGAGATAAGAACAAAGATGAAATCTTGTTCTGTCTGGAACTTTTCCAATAATTTCAGAAGCCAGCATTGCACCCATATATACTTTGAATCCTATACAAAGCTTGCCATTAGTGCTTCTAGTGAAAAAAGTGTTTGTAAACATACTGATAATTAAAGATGTGCTTCTCCAATATGCGCAAACATCCCAATCAATCATTAAAGAACAAGATAGGTCACAATTGTCAGACTGATAATTTTTATATCTGTAATTTGATCGTAAAGAATCAATATACTTGTGGAATATTGTTTTTACTTTCCGAATTCACAGATCACTACTGTGGCATTTCCCAACATTAAAGGAATTAATTAAGGCTGAGGCTCAAGTTTAATTAAATAATCCAATATGAATCCTCAAAAAAAAAACTTAAAATCGGAAACAAATCATAGGCATAGAAGAACAATCCCAAAGCCAAAACTATACTGACCTGTGGTATAACTATTGAAAGATTGAGAACTCCAAGAGAAAGCCCTATAACACAACGAAATCAATAATTAGGAGGATACCTTACTAATCACTGCTTTTTTGCTTTTTTAACAAAATGGGTTGGAATTAAAAAGATTACCTTGGCCAGCACCAGCGGTGTTACAAAAGATCGATGCCAAAGCAAAAGGGATGCTGTAAGTTATCTGCAGAACAAATCATTAGTTAATCATGAAAATATCCAAGTCTTAATTATAACTCAATTAGAATAAAAATGATCGCTGGTTGTTCAATGAATTAAATATAAAAGGTTTTTTCTTGAATTTCAATTAAAACTGCATCTGCAGTTTCTCTCTCTCTCTCTCTATATATATATATATACACACACAACATCAACAACAATTACAGCAGTTTTCATTAAATGCACAGATACCAGCATTAATATTGGATATATATTCGTACATATATTCGTATTTGGCTCTTTAATTCACTAAATCATTATCCGCAAAATATTGATTAGGGGATTGCACATGTAGTATTTCAACTGCACGTACTTTTGATCTGCTTCTTATTGGACATATATATATCCAAATTTTACACAGTAGCGGCCATAGGGAGTATTGTGCACGGTCCTCTCTTTTATGTCTCTAATTATTATCAACCTATCATTTTATCTTGACCTTATAGAATAATGCAACAATATGTAGAACATATTTATTTGAATTTGCAGAATTTACGGTCAAGTTTGTGTTGAAAATTTAATTCATATGTGTCAAGTAATTTAAAACAAAAAAAAGTAAAAAGGGAAGGAAAGATTTAGAAAATTTTCAAACATTAAAAAATTGTATAACAGAAAAAAAGTAGAAAGAAAAAATGATAGTAATACTGATACAGGTGGGCATGCATATAATTAACAAAAAAACTAGAACCTGCTGCACCAAAATGGCTGACTCCAATTATAAACAAGATTTTAATTACTAAGCACAAAACAATACTTGAAAAGGTTTAAGGCCCAACAAGAACTTACAGCTTGAGGTATGCCCAAAACGGCAAAAAGGGCTAAGGCACTAGCCTGGACACCACCAGGCGGCGGCAAGAGGTGTGTTCCTCCATTCACGGTGGTGTACCGTCTGCTAGATTCAGCAAATTTGGTGATCAAAATAGTCAGTGCCATACAAATAGCCAAGACAAAATTCACAATCCCCCACAGCCTTTTAACCCCACCAACCGAACGAGCCAAAACCTCCACGCCAAGTGAAGTAAATCCCAAAACAACTGAGTTGAGCAGCAACCCCAATGAACCCGCACGGACCCCACGATCATACATCTTCAGCTGATCAGCACTTCCACTTGAATCGCCACCGTAGACCTCTCTCCCCATCCAATCAGTATCAAACAACACAAAAGGAAACCAAGCAACCCAATTAAGACACGTCACCAAAAGTAGGATCCACATAGGTCTTTGCAAGCTCTTGAAAGCAGCAAATACTTCCCCAAAACATGGCCCTGGCACCGACTCTTTGGCTTCTCCACTCTCCTCCTCCTGGTCACCGCCATCACCGGAACTTCCCTCCGGCGACCAGGGTTTGTCACGTACGTAACTGAGAGCTAGAATTGTCAACGCTAAAAGCAAGGCAATAGAAATAAAGAAACAAGATTTGAGATTTGCACAGTAAACATCACAAGCTTTGGTTCTTGAAAATGGAAAAATTTTGTATAAGTGAGTGTAGGAACCAGCTGCATAGCCAAGAACATTGCCAACAGCCATAAAGAAAGAGTAGAAAGCATTGGCTGTCCGTGTCTTTTTCTGATCAGTCCCTGAAAGGTCAGCAAGAAATGCCCTACATGGACCTTGAAGCATGTTATTAGCAACGTCAAGAACCCAAAACCCTACCACAAACACAGCGATGGCTCGTGGCTTAGCTGTTTTGGCTAGGGAATCACCAGAGAGATGGCCGATGTCAGCGGCATAGCCAATGAGAAACACAGCAATTGCGACAAAACCAGCCCCCGCCGCTATAAATGGGCGGCGGCGGCCAAAACGGGAGGTGCATCGGTCACTGAGGTACCCCACTATTGGCTGGACTAACATACCAGAAACCGGCCCACAGAGCCAAATGAAAGCAGCCCATTTGTGAGGAATGCCTAGAAGTTGCACATATGGGGTTAACAAAGAGAGCTGTAGTGCCCAACCAAATTGAACACCAGCAGCTATGGATGCAACCATTATGATCTTCCATAATGGGCTAGGGTTGGTCAAAGGAGGCTGTTGTTGAAGATTTAAAGAGGAGATCAAAGGGGGTTTGTTTTCTTTTCTAACTCCACTCTCCATATCGCTAGATCACACTTAGAGTGGACTGGCAAATCTTTCTTGGTTTTTTTCAACAAGGGGTATAGTTTGAGCTTGTGTTTTGAAGGTGATGAAAGGGGAAATGAGTTTGCATGGGAATTTATAAAGGGAGAGTGTGTGGGTTTGGAGAAGGAGAAGGGGAAGGGGAAGGATAAGGTGATTTCGAGAGTGATGTGGCAACTTGACCAAGAGCGAGGGTGTGTAAATATGATCTTCTCCGTTTCAGATTGTGTTTCTTAGAATAGTATGTAGTTATGGTGCATATTCTTGGGTGCAATTCTCATTAAATTCTCCTTACCTTATTTGCTTTTCTGTTTCTGTCATTTGCTGGCACTAAGACTGGATTCGTTTTTATTTTTCCTTTTTTATCCTTTAGCAGACATTCAGTCATTTATTAATATGATTTTGAGTCCGAAATTATTGCATTTTGCTTCTGGCATTGCTTATTACAGATTAATATTATAAATATATTAACTGAGTAAATTTGGTGAATAAACAATAGTTTATTTTTTCTTTTGATTTCTTAAGTTTAACAGAGATCAGTATTAAAAAATATTATTTTTTATGTAGAATATGGACTCTTAAGTTTGTTCAAAGAAAAAATTTAATATTTACTCATGTACAAACTAATTCGAATATATCTCTTCTCTAAAAAAAAAAAAAAAAAACCAAATGATTATACTTAGCAAGATGTAATTTGTACTTACATAATCGGATATTATTAGATTAATTATATTTCCATCATTGCTCTGTGTACCAATTATTAACATTTATAACATAATCTTGCTATGTTTGTCATGATGCATTAAAATTGTATATTTTGTGTGTGGATAAATATATTTTCATATGCAACTTTCAAATCTAGTTAAAGGAACAATATACGCTTGAAAATCTTTAAAGAATTTTTTTCTTGCCATGTAAATATCCGTAAAAAGAGTTAACATAATTTGACCTACTATAGTAATATGCGTTCCGATTTTTTTTTTACTAATTAACATTATTAATATATTAAATTGACAGATTTGATGGAAAAAATGAGTTTCTTTCTTTCTTTTTTTCTTTTTTTTTAATTTCTTGAGTTGGAAAAAATCAGAACTAAATATATATATATATTTTGTCAATGCACAAAACTCTTGTAAGATATAGATCTTTAAAATTGTTTAAAAATAATTAATATTATTGACTTACAAACTGATTGGAATATTGAAAAAAATATTATTAATATAATTTGATCATAGTTCTCAAGATGTACTTATTACTTTTTAAGTAACTACTAGGATTACTTTCCACAATTGCTCACTCTATTCCAATTATAAACATTATAGAGTTTTATATTTATGTGTGGATAAACATGTTTGATTTATCTTATGCAACTTTCAAGTCCGGTTAAAGGAACAATATCATAGGGTTGAAAATCTTTATAAAATCATTTTGTTGCGACGTAAATATCTGTAAAAAGAATTGACATAGATCAAATTCATATACATATCTATGTAATATGCGTTCCATTCAAATAATTAATTAAATTCTTGATAATTTATTTTGTTGTTTTTTATGCAACATGCTATAATTATAATAATTAAATTACACGCAATTTTTATACATATAGTTATTGAACATGTGTATGATGGGATGAATGGGATACAAAATTCATGGGTGATAATATATAAATTAATGTTATAATCAAAATCTCAAAAATTGTAATAAATTATTGTAATAGCAGCAATTACAAGTGAATAAAGAAAGTGATGAGAAATCTCATTGAATTAGGAGCAGGATTCAACGTAAGGGATAACAGAGAGAGACCACTTGCTTCTTATTGGTTACTGACTTTTGCCCACTTTGCAAAACGAGTTGGTATTAGTTTCATGAGCGTTTTATCCCAATAAGATAAATTTAATCTGTGGGTGATTATCACCTCCCATATTACCAAATAGAAAGAGATAACATATAATAAACATTGGTTTGGTAATAAAAAAAATGCTAATATTCTTGAATCTCAGATTTTGAGCTAGTATTTAAGAAATTTATTAAAATTTTCTAAATTGGTGCATCAAATGAAGGTGGAAGGTGTGCTTTTACGATCACATAAGAAATAAACTTAATTTTAATTGATATATAAACTGATTTGAAGATATTTTCTACTGTAAAATAAAAAAAAATACATTGTGATTTTGATTTGAATATATATATATATATATATGCCATTAATACTAATAAAATAAATCAATATTGTAATGTAAAAAAAAATATAAAAGAAACTATTTAGCCTCTAGATTTTCATTATTTAAATCCTTCCAATAAAGTATCTAGATATCAATATCTGGAGCAATAGCTAGTAATATATACATAATATCATATTTTACTATAATGATAATTATTTTATCAATTAGAACAAATTAACCTCAGAAATAATCTTACGTTTATCCTGAAAATCATGATGTAAATCATGTTTATGTAGTACTTTGTTTCTCATTATATTCTAGAACAGATAAATTTATTCATGCATGCTAGCTGTAGTTTGACAATGGCAAAAAATAAAAAAATAAAAAATAAAAAAATGAAAAAAAATCTGAAAAGTAACCATCTTAGAACCGACATAACCAAATTTCTCCATACTCCCTTTTCTATCCATTGCTCCATGCCATGAAGCACTCAAGTTGGAGAGATTTCCCTTCAATAATGTTCATTTGTGTGCAACAATAATAATAATAAGCAAGATCATTATGTAACCAAACATTCTCTTTTTTCTTTTGATAGTTTTGACCAACTATGTGTTGTGACTTCTTTGATATTTGTGGACTTTACATGATGTAGTGTTGAATATGATGACGATTTACAAAATATCATTCTTTAAATATTCATTAATTGGATTTTTTTTTTAATTTGGTAATATGGGCGGTGATAATCACCCACACATTAAATGACATAATGACATATATATCAGGATCATTAATCGATGTTAATTAAATTACTAATGATATTTCATGGTTTCAAATATTTTGATTGGCCCTTTTTTCTTTAATCTTTCTTCGGGAGAAGATTTTTGTGTTGCTTGCCGAAGCAATTAATTATGATAATGTATAATTAGAGACCAATTAAGACAAAAAAAATATCCTGAATTATGTCATGTACTCCCCAATAATATCGAGATTTTCAGCAATCCTTTGTTCATATTTAGAATTTATATATAAAACATCAGAAGCATTGAAAATGTTTTGAATTGACCACGATTAGACAAAATCTGAAACTAACATATTGCATTTTCAATGAAATTACTGTGTTCTAACTAACAAATTTTAATTAGAACGGAAGAAGTCAACTTGAATTTCAACGGTTTTATTGCTGATTATGGAAATGAGATAAAATTTAATTCGATGCAATGTGGTACTCATCATACGTAGTGGATTAGAGAACAATGTTATCTCCCATGCTTTGCCTTTTGCTTTGAAAAAATTAAAAATAAAATAAAAATGATGGAGCATAATTAACTACACGTAAGACCAACTAGATGATACACATGGATTGAGTTCCCTAGCAAGTTCAAACCTCCCTTTTATGATTAAGAAGAATATAATTCATTAAAAACAATGATCTTTTACTTAAGTACTTTTTTTTTTTTTTAATTCTTGATTGTGTTCATCTATTTATTTATTGTCTAAACATTCGAACAGATACATATCTCACCGAACCTTTTTTTTTTTTTTTTTTAATTTCATTCACTTGGTTTTATTTCATTCGTAACCACTTGGTAATGGCTTTAATTTATTTTCATCCGTTTGTTAATGTAATTGTTTATAATTAACCACTTCGATATCGTTTATAATTATTCAAGAATCATTTCGCACTCCATTCCTTTGCTTTTCACAATTTTTTTTTTTTTAATGGCTTTTCATGGAATTCCTAATCATGCTTCCCTTTGACACCATTGATAGGATTGTTTTCTTTTAAATATTAATTAAAAAGGGTGAAAATTCCTTTGTCTTTTCTTTTCCTCCTTCTTTGAAGAACCCACTTTCACAATTTTATGGCTAGGTTGGACTAATAACGGAAATTATCTTGTTTTTAATATGCTATATTTGTTTTTTATTTTGTAATATTTTATATTAAATATAATCAAATACATATGCATACTTTCTTATATGGTCATTCTATTATAGAAAGTAGTTAATCTAATTAGCCTAAATTTTAAGTAGATTGCTTGTTGAATATGATGTATAAATATTCCCTTACATTCTTTGCAATAAGATATACAATAATTTATTCACATTCTTTTTATGTTATCATAGCAATATTTCTAACTTTTTTTCTTTTCCTCATTCATGGCAACTAATTCCTCAAATTTCGATAAAAGTGATTTTGTATCCATTGCAAATAGGTCTCATATCGCCCTATAAGAAAACTAGAAAATAGCGATGGATCGAAGTCTCGCCACTAAATAGTGATGGTTTAGTAAACGAACCGTGATTGCTATCGAGACGTAGGTTTCAGCCACGTAACATCGATGGATTAGTGACGGATTCTCGGTGATAGACTTTATTTTGTCACTATTTATGATGGAAAAATATTTACAAGTATTTAAGAGACAGATTAACAAGAAAATTATGAGGAAAATCAACGATAAAATCTTAATTTCGTCGTTGCTTTTGGGTTTTAGTGTTTGCGATAGAAATTTCATCGCTGATTTCATATTTTCCTCACAAATTAGCGACGGACAATTCTATCACTAATATTGAAAAAATGATCGGACTTAACAAATTCAAAACAAGTAATGAACACTTATGTCCGTTGGTGATTAGCAACAAGATTGCTTCCGTTGCTAATCCTAAATCCGAATCCCCATTTTTTTCCCCTATTTTCTCTAGCTTCCTTTCCCTCTCCTCCCTTTCACCGTCGGTTGTAATCCCCGACCCAAAACCACCACTCCCTAGCATTCCTCACCCACTCCAAACTCTTTTGCTCTCCAAAAGCTTCAAATTTCT